TACAAACCATCACAACAGTGTGCCTGGGGTTCAGAGATAAGAAAGTCAAGTCGTGTGTGTGTGTGTGTGTGTGTGTGTGTGTGTGTGTGTGTGTGTGTGTGTGTATGCTTCAACTATGAGGAAGTAGTGTTGCAGAGAGTGGAAGAAAGTGCTTTTCAGGAAATGGTGCTGAACAAGTTGGTTTTCCTAAGGACAGGGAAGGAAATTGGTTACCATATACACTAAGTGCTTAGAGATTAAGGACATGAATATGAACTGGGTGTGTTATACTTTTGAGGAAAATATTAGAAACTGTCTTAAATGATCTGTCTGGTGAAAAAATTTGTACAAAAAAGACAATTATAAAAAAGTTTGTTCTTAGAGGTATGTGTTGGTAAAAATGAGAGCTTCAGATTGCATGATTTCTAATTAATCTGGTCATGTGGCAAAAAGCAAATATCACTTTATTTTGTTATATTTTACTTTGTCTAGAGTTTAGTGTTAGCTAGTGCATCTGGTTGGTTTTATTTTAAACTAGATTTATGCATTAAACTTGTTTATTAGTGTGTCCTTTGCCTGCATATATGTCTGAGCACAACTTGCATGCCTGGTGCCTGTGGAGGCTAGAAAAGGACATTAGCTACCCTGGAACGGGAGTTACAGATGGTTGTAAACCACCTATGGGTGCTGAGTCCTCTGGAAAAGGAACAGGTGCTCTTAACCACTGAACCATCTCTCTAGTCCCCACCTGGCTGTTTTGTATTTTAGGGCTTTCTGCATCACTGTCTTGGTAATTGGAGTTTCAGATGTCCCAATGTCTTGAAACCAGCTCATGATGGGTGTTTGTGATTTTCTTTATTTACTCCTTGCCAATCTGTATAGGCTATTTCTAGAGATTCAAGACTTCGACATTGTGATTTATTGCATTAATATTTTGCTTTACATTTCATCATACCCAGTTATTAGTATAGAAAACTTGGGCCAGGCAGTGGTGGCGCACGCCTTTAATCCCAGCGCTTGGGAGGCAGAGGCAGGTGGATTTCTGAGTTCTAGGCCAGCCTGGTCTACAGCGTTAGTTCCAGGACAGCCAGGGCTATAAGAGAAACCCTGTCTCGAAAAACAAAAACAAAATAAAAAAGAAAGAAAACTTGGAGTATGGAAATGGATCATAAACAGTAGGAATATTTTTTTAAAGATTTATTTATTTTATATATGTGAGTGTACACTGTAGCTGTATTCAGACACACCAGAAGAGAGCATCATATCCCGTTACAGATGGTTGTGAGCCACCATGTAGTTGCTGGGAATTGAACTTAGGACCTCTAGAAGAGCAGTCAGTGCTCTTAACTGCTGAGCTGTCTCTCCAGCCCGAGTAGGAATATTTTTATTGGTTGATTTTTTAAAAAATCTTTTGGAATGTGTATTCCATTTTCAGGTGTGTTCATCACAGCGTAATTTTATAGACCCAGTCACACTCTTCAGCCCCTACCATAGCCTCTTCACTTCTTGCTGGTTGTTCTTTGTTGTCTTGCTCTGGGACAGGATATTCATTCATACATACATACATACATACATACATACATACATATATACATACATACATACATTCTAGACTAACCTGGAACTTGCTATATAGGTCTCAGTTGTTGTAGTCTTTCTCCCTCTGATTTCTGAGCACCACTGTGCCTATCAGGCTGAGGTTTATTAATCAGGGTATCTGATATTCAGACATACTTTCCTGGGGCTCAGGTTGTTCCCTTTCTTGCTGTTGGCGGAACACTGTCAATGTCTCTTACCTTTCCCAAAACTTGTTACTGTGATCTTCTTTTTCTGACTAATGGTTATTACTTTATGAGATTAACAGGGATTGTATGGGCTAGGGTAGCCTCTGGGTTAGCCTGTACTCACATTTGATAAAGCATTGATAGATCCTCCCACACGGATGGGAGCTAGGTTTGCTCCAGCGTCACGTCTCATGTTACTCTTGAGATCATTCTTTATTTTCACTTCTAGTTCAACCCATTTTCTGTTTTCACGATCTTGTTAAATGGAGGTGCACTGCTTTGGCCTCACTGAGGAAGACCTTCTTCCATTGCAGAACAGTTAACTGATGACCTGCATTTATTTGTCAGTAACAACCCTTATCTTTAGACTGAGTTCTTAACATTTCTTGGGAAACATGGAATAGGTAGCTAGTATGCCTGTTTTAACCCAGGGCAGGCAGGACTCCTCCAGTGGGTGTTCTTCCCTGTGAAGCTCCCTGCTGCACTGACCACAGTCTTGTTTGATCTGCATGAAGGTCTGAGGCTTCCTCCCCTTAATGCTGCTGCATCACATCGAAACCTTAGCTTCATGGGTGTCAGATCTCCATCATGCTCTGGGCTTTCCATGCTAGTCTTCCTCCTCTTATGTTACAGAAAATCTCCTTTACTCTTTTCTTAACATTTTCTCTCAGAGGACCCAACAGATGCATCTTCCTCTAGTTATTTCCAGCATTTCCTCTGGTTGAAATGAGGATTTTAAGTTGCATTTAGTATATTTGTGTTTGTGTATATGTGTGTGCGTGTGGGGGTGGGGAGGTGGGTAGGACAACTTGTGGGAGTTTTTTCTTTCCTTCCTTCTATCATTTGGGTCCCAGGAATCAAGCTCTCAAGCTCAGGGCATCAGGCTTGGTGACAAGTGCCTTAACATGCTGAGTCGTCTCCTCCAACGATTCTTTCTCAACTCTTCTATTTCGATTCTTCCCGTTATTTCATAGTGATTGTCTCTGTCTGGGAGTTCTGCTTCCTCTCTAGTGCCCACTGGGAGAGAATGGCAATGTCTACTCAGTTGTTTTCACACCTCTGACATTAAAGTCCTTCGCTTATCGCTTTTTGATGAGAGAAAATAGAGACAATATTGTCTGAGATTAGGTCAGTCAGTTAAAAGGAGAGCAAGTCACTCTAGTAAGGGATAAAGTTAGAGGTTATAAGATCAGGTAGAGTTTTTTAGGGAGGGAGGTGGTTATTAAAAGAGTATTGGCTAGGCATGATGGTGCAAGCCTTTACTACCAGCACTTGGGAGGCAGAGGCAGGGAGATAAACTGAGTTTGAGGCCAGCTTGGTCTGCAGAGCAAGTTCCAGGCCAGCTAGGGCTACATAGTAAGTCCTTGTTTTATTAATCAGTTAATTGATAGACTAACATTTTGTCCTTTACTCAGAATGGGCACTATTGGAAGATTTTTGAGCTTCTAAGTATCTACATACTGTTTGCATGTATTTGTGTGTGCGCTTGTGCTTGAGAATTTATGTATGTGGTGTATGCTACACTGCAAAATTGGTATTTGGTTGTATAAAGAAAGTGGAGATGATGTCATGCTCCACTTTATTCCCCTGAGCCAGAGTCTCTGCACCTGGACCTGAGCTGGAATCCAGCAAGCCTGCTACCCCTCCATGGCCAGCAGTGTTAGGTTCACAGGTACATGACCATACTTTGATTTTTATATGAGTTCTGGGGATTTGAACTCAAGTTCTCCAGCTTGTACAGCAAGTGCTTTTACCTGCTGAGCCATGTCTCCAGCCTTCCTGTTTATTGTTTGTTTTGTTCTGTTTTGAAATAAGTTCCCATCTGGCCTGGAACTCACTGGATAGCTCAAGCTGTCCTCAGACTTGCAGTAATCCTTGTGCCTCAGTTTCCCTAGTGCTGATATTACAAATGTGTACTACTATATTCAGCTATAATTAAGTTTAAACCAGAATCATTGTGGTTGATATGGGGAGAACAGAATGGAGGGCAAAGTGGTCAGAAATGGAGACTAGTTGAGAGAGTATTGCAGTCATACCATCCATACAGAGATGCAAATCTGTCTTTGGCTGTTTTTGTCTTTTTGTAGCTTCATACATTCGTGCAGTGAATCTTGCTCATTCTCTTACACCCCTCCTGCTTTCCTGTCATCCCCCTCTACTGTTAAATCATTTAAGTCACCTCCCCCTTTGTTTCCATGTCTTGCTGTGTGTGTGACTCCCTAAGTGAAGCAGAGTTGTAACAAGGCATTGATATCTACAACCAAGTAGTAAAATTAAAATTAATACTTAGTATTGACCATAGAGAAGAATAAAGTCTTGTGGTTGCAAACCTAAGTGGAAGGCAATTTGTTGTGTCTACTCTTTTTAGTTTGCGTGTATATGTGTGTGTGTGTGTGTCACACATGAGCACTTACAAAGTTTGTTAGATTCTCTGGAGTTGGAGTTACAGTTTTGAGCCACCTGCTGTGGGTGCTGCAAGTGCTCTTAACTGCTGCTTTCTCTATAGCTCTTAATTACACATAATAAAGGAGTATCTAAATCATGCTGCCTGTGTAACTGATATAATTAATAGCCGTGTGTGTGTGTGTGTGTGTGTGATGGAAGCAGCAGTTTGTGTGTGTGTTTAAAAAAAAACATTTGGTTGCATATTCCTGTAATCCTAGCATTTAAGAAACACCACAGGGAAACAGGAGATCAGATGTTCAAAGTCATCTTCAGGTGCACAGTAAATCCAAATACCCTGTCTCAATCAGTGTATCAGTTGCTGTATTAGTCAGGGTTCTCTAGAGTCACAGAACTTACAGAATGTCTTTCTACTGAGGGAATTGATTGTGATGACTCACAGTCTGTAGTCCCAACTACCCCAACAATGGGCAGCTGGGGAGGGGAAGTCCAAGAATCTAGTAGTTGCTCAGTCCCACAAGGCTACTTGTTTTAGCTGATCTCTGTAGAAGTAGATTCCAACAGATGTGCATAGAAGTTTAGTTATCTGTCAGTGTGACCATTTTTTAGGGAGACTTTGTTCTTAACAAATACTGTGAGTTTCTGGATTTGATGTTATGAACCTAGTGAACAAAGTTTATTTTTGTAAAAATTTCTTGTAAGAATGGTAAGTTTGTACATATATGACTATGTTATGTGCATATATGTGTGTATGAAAACTGCTAAGGTGTACTTAACCATGTTTTAAGAATGATATCATTCATTGCTTTTAAAATATGTTTTATTCCTACTTAGGCCGAATACACCAAGCAATGGTAACATCTTTAAATGAAGATAATGAAAGTGTAACGGTTGAGTGGATAGAAAATGGAGATACAAAAGGCAAAGAGGTATGCTTGCTAAGTAAACATTTCTAGCCAAGGTTTTGAATACAAAACAAAATGTAAAACTTATTTTATATGACGTAGATATTCTGTATCATTCCTTTAAGAACTTTCAAATAGGAACTGGAGAGATGATCAACGGTTGAGACTACTGGAGGACCCTGGTTTAATTCCCAGCCCCAACATGGTAGTTCATAGCCATCTGTGACTAGTCCCAGAGGATTCAACACTTTTCTGGTGTCTAGGGCACCGAGTATGCATGTGGTATGCAGACATTCCTGCGGGCAAAACACCTGTGTATTAAAAAAAAAAAATCTTTCCAATGAGTTGTAAAAATTAGCTCAAAGGAAAAAACTGTTCTTTCTATTCATCATCTGTTCATTAGCACAGGGCACAAAATTTGAAAATTGCTATATGTTTAAGTAACAATTCTGTAGTCTTGAAGATCACTTTTACTAAGAGTTCTTGAAATCAAGTGTAAGCTATTTGTGGGTTATTGTTCTAAACGGTCTAGTTTACAAAGTGATGTGAAACTTTAGGTTGGAGTCATTTGCTCTGTAACTTACATGTGTTTGTTTATACAGATTGACCTGGAAAGCATCTTTTCACTTAACCCTGACCTTGTACCTGATGAAGACATTGAACCCAGTCCAGAAATACCTCCACCCTCATCATCCTCAAAAGTAAACAAAATTGTAAAGGTTAGTTAGGGGCGAGTGCACATGTCTGCATGCTGATTTGAGACTGGTAGACGATGAAGACTGTGTATAGTATGTATTAAATATTGTTGGTTCATTTTTAAAAAGTTTTTTCCACCATATGTATCAGTGCAGTTCTCAGATACCTTCATAAGTCAGGTTGTCCAGTTAACAATTCATGACATTCTTTAGATCAGAAAATAAAAATTCTTTGTTTAATTAGGATTTTTTTGAGACTGATAGCTTCTAATTTTAAAATGATGAGACCGGTAAGTGTAGTTTACGTACCTGTGTGTTGTTGCTGAGGAGAAACTTTATAGAGTAATGCTGCGTCCTCCGTAGCAGCTAGAGCTCTGCAAAGTAAAGATCCATTAAAGATAACTCTGCTTCCTTCTCTTGAAACTCTGACCTGGTAATAGACTGCATGAAAATACAACCAGAGGGTCCTGCCACGTTGTTGAACCTGGACTTCTTAATGTTTGATTCAGTGGCATCTAGTGATTTCTGCCTTGTGCTATGTTAGAATACACAGATGAATTTGATATGGCTTGCAAGCCTATAGGAATTCTGTATTTTGCAAAGAAAGCATGCATAAACATACAAATGTAGTATAGAGACTAACCATCTACATTCTGCTTTGAAGTTACATATGTGAATGTGAATTGGAGTTTCAGTTTGTATAACAAGCAAGGTGAGAGAGAGCTACTGCATAAAGGCCCTTAACAACGTGCATGGAGTGTTTGCATATACAGCTTCACAGCCTTCATGGATCGGTACACCTTTATCCACCACCTCCCATTCTCAGGTTGAAGTCAAGCCCGATAATTCTCCTTTGCCTTGGCATCTTACCACTGAGTTCCAGGCCTTAGGGTGTTGTTAATCTTTGCTTTCTTTTAAAATCTCTTGAAGTTTAAAAATATTGATTTCTGGGCTCCACTGATTACCTCCTTAGATCCAAAGATGTAATTTACTACCAGTCCCTCAATCCAAGATCAAAAGTGCTCCAAAATCCAAGGTTTTAATTTTTATTTATTATATCTTATTCATGGTTTGTGTGAGCATAGGTGTGTGCATGTCCTGACATTCAGGTGGCTCTCAGAGGACCACTCGGAGTCGTTGATTGTCACCTCCTACCTTGTGTGCTCTGGACTCCTGTCTTGCTGTAGGAGTGTTGGCGTTACAGGAACAAACAAGCACATCTGACTGTTTTTGTAGGTAGGATTGACTCCATTTAGACTTGTGCAGAAAGTGACTTTACCTGCTGAGCCATCTTGCCAGCCCTCAAATACATTTTTTTTTTTTGAGAACAAACATTAGATCACAGAAAAGAAATTCCACATATGTGATGAATTTCGGTGAGAAAGAAGCTGCATCAGAAATATTACAAAATTATCTTCAGAGAAGTTGGAGGTCCCTGCATAAGAGCACTTGCACCACCATTATTGGATTTGAATCCACATAACTAAGTAAAAAAAGCAGCCGTGACCCTTGTAACTACAGCTCTGTGGGAGGCAGATGGAAGGATTACTGGGGCTTGCTGTCAGTCAGCCTAGTTCCAGGTTCAAGTGAGAAACCATGACTCCAGGAATAAGGCGGAACATGACAGCAGATACCAGATGTCCTCCTGAGTTACACACACACACACACACACACACACACAGACACACACAGACACACACACAGACACACACACACACACACAGAGTCTTCAGGCTCTGTGTATTCAAGGTATGTATGAAACATAAGTGAATGTGCATTTAAAGTTGAGTCCTATCACCAAAATACCCAATTTTACACATGAGAGCACATACACAAATATTCTAAGATGCCAACAAATGTGGAACATTTCTGGTCTAGTGCTTTTCAGATAAGAGATCCCCCAACCTGTACACAATTTTGACAAGATAGAGTATAGTATAGTTACTTAGCCTCACTGCAGATTCTCTCCTGAAATGCCAGTCACAATAAAATGGTTTCTGACATTTGCTCTGATTGTACTGAATCAACGATGGAAATAGCCAAGCCTGAGCATCAGAGGACCTTCTAGTGTGCTTTGATGAATTATCTCCATAGTCTTGAGAAGCAAAACTACAAAATTTTCTCTTCCACCTCTCTTTCTCTTTTTCCCCACCCTCTGTAGTGTGTGTATGTGTGTGTGTATGTGTGTGTGTGTGTGTGTTGGTGTGTTCATTTCTGAGTATGAAAAAATTGTATTATGGAACTTTGTAAATGAGAAGATTTCTACATTTGACCTGAGCTTGGAATTAAGAAAATAATGATTCCGTAGAGTTGTGTGAAGCTGAAATGAATAAGGTCTTTAGAGCAATAGCTTTCTCATATTTACTAATATATGGGGAATTTGGATATATAACCCTCCTAAAGGACGTTGACTATTGGTGAATTAGTAATTTTTATATTATTTATAGTTTTTCTCCGTCTGGTTTTATGTTACTGTTGTCTGTTTGCTTTCATTTAATTAAAAGTAGCTGAGGCACTGATACTTGTGAGGAATGAAGGGGGAAAATCAGTACATACTATTTTTTTCTATAGAACCGACGGACTGTGGCATCTATTAAGAATGACCCTCCCCCAAGAGATAATAGAGGTAAAGTAACACTTTATCCCTTAATCTTTCCTACTGTCTTTTTATCAGTAAAGACTTTGATGAGGTACATCAAAAGTTAAAATATTACCCTTGCCATTTAAACCATACATGGCTAATTTTAACATTAGTGTGCCTGATTTTCTAATATCTCAATAGCATTAATAATATTTCTCTAGTATAAGAAATATGATCTACTCTGGTGAGGCATGCCTAGAATTTGAGTACTCAGGAGGCAGAGGCAGGAAGATCTCTACAAGTTGGAAACCAATCTAGTCTACATAGGGGATTCTAGGCTAATAGGCCTATAAAGCAAGACTCAATAAAACAAAACAAAAAACAGTTTAAATGTATGTGGTGACTAGAGACTCAGCAAAGTATGTACTGTTGATTCAATATACTCAATTTTGAAAAATGGTGGAAGGCATCAGAGAAAGAACAAAGGAGGAGAGATTCAGATAGTGATGGTGTCACAGGTAGATTTCACTATCACCACTTTTATCATAGTTTCTGACTAAGGCTTTGAGAATGTTTTATAGTTAGCTTTGGAGTTGGCAAAAGAAGTCTAAATGGGCATAAATTATAGTTGACTTGGAGTTTCACAGCCAAGACACGTAGACAAAACTAGCTTCTCTCACCATTCTTTAGTTCAGAACTTGTGTACAGTTGTATCTCTCTATAGGCATGGATGGATGATAGTACAGGATGGGCCAGAAGCACCAGAGAAGAGATTAGAAGTAGAGAGAGAGGAGAAAGTCCTTTCATCACTACCCTGCAAATGGTTTAAGCATCTCTATAACTTGGTAACTTTCCTGAGGGTCTCTGTAGCCCAGGTTTGTCTTGAACTTGATAGACAGTGGAGAAGGATCTTGAGCTCCCAGTCTTCTCGACCCTCTCAGGTGCTGCTACTACATATGCACCACCCCACCCAGCTTTCTAGTCATATCTCATTTTAAGTCCCTTTTTGCATTGTTAGGACATCTACAGTGGGGAAACACTCTTCTGAAGATTTGTATGTTGGGGAGAAAAGAACAGAGTCTGGACTGTAAGGAAGGCTGGAAGGACTTTTACATTTGATTTCTGTGTGTCTGACTTGTGTACATTTTTTAAAAATGAGAATGCTTTTCTATTGCAAGTATACTCTAAAGAATGTTTACATTCTGGAAATTTAAGACTGGAGTTTCATGTGTGTCTTTAAAAGTGATTATTAAGTCAGTTCAGCTTTGGGTTTTAAGTGAGTATGTAGTTTTGTAGCTAAAATTGCATTTTAAGACTATTATTTGTAACTTATATGAAATCTATGCTGACCACAAACTCAGAAATCTGCCTGCCTCTTTCCCAATGTAAATATTACTTTAAAAATATCTTTTAGTTATATCAATTTATTGAGTAGATTGACTACTTCTGGTAACTTTAAGAACCATTTATAGAAAAGTTTGGCAGTTTGCTAAATGTGATTAATTGATTGATTGATCAATTGATTTTTTTTTTCTTTTGAGACAGGGCTTTTCTGTTTAGCCCTGGGTGTCCTGAAACTCACTTTGTAGAGCAGGCTGTCCTCGAACTCAACAAGATCCTGCCTCAGCCTCACAAGTGCTGGGTTTAAAGGTGTGTGCCACCACCTCCCAGTGTTTATTGAATGTTTGAGGCAGGGTCTCCTTATTACCTAGGCTTGTCTCAACCATGTACTGATTGTCCTGCCTCAGCTTACCAAGTGCTGGGATTATAGGTATGAGCCATTGTGCCTGGCGTGAGTGTACTATTTATGTATCAGATTTGACATGAGGATGTCTTTTTTTTTTTTTCACCATGATTAGTTTTTAACTTTCCTGAATTAACTTTGTTTTCTAGTGGTTGGTTCAGCGCGTGCACGGCCTAGTCAACTTCCTGAGCAGTCATCTTCTACACAACAGAATGGTAGCGTTTCAGATATATCTCCAGTTCAAGCTGCAAAAAAGGAGTTTGGACCTCCTTGTATGTAAATACTGTATCAAGGACTCAGTCATTTTAGGCATACATGTAGTCTCTCTTGGTCAGCCTTACAAGTTCCTATGCAGTAAGCAACCCCATACAAACTTGGCTAAAGATTGCATTTTGCCAACAAATTATAATTGGTGCTTAGTACTTTAGTCAGTTAATTGGAGATATATAACATTCTGTGTGAGGTTATAACAGTTGTTTTAAATTTAAAATCCTGGCTAGGGTTTTTTGTTTTGTTTTTGTTTTTGTTTGTTTTGATTTTTTGATTCTAGAAGAAAATTACACTTCTTGATCATTTCAATTCAAAGGTCTGATTCTAAACCAAGAGATGACATGTATCAGTGTGTTCGAGTCATTTCCCTTGACTCATCTGTATAATGTCATGTTCCTGCTTTGGTTAAAGCAGCTCATAAGTAAAGTTCACCTAGGTATTTGGCATGCTTCATCACTGTGGACTTTGTGTGTGTGTGCGTGCACTGAAATTATTCATAAAATATATGTTAAGTGTAATTCTGTAAATAGAAAGCTGTGCTTCAGCTCATCCTTTTCCTTTTAGCACGTAGAAAATCTAATTGTGTGAAAGAAGTAGAAAAATTGCAAGAAAAAAGAGAAAAAAGGAGATTGCAACAGCAAGAACTTAGAGAAAAAAGAGCCCAGGTTTGTAACGTAAATTCATAATGTTTGTTGTTTGGTGAAAAGATTAGGCTATGTCAGTGAAAATAGTTGATTTAAAAATAAGTTTAAGGACTTCCTTAAATTGATATGTAAAAATAATGTAATGTTTTTAAATAAATTACTGCTACAGATTTTTCATTGCATTCACTTATAGTTTAGTGTTACATGTTAGCCCTAAAATTGGTTCTCTTCTTGAAAGTATTTATGTGTAGAATCATAAATTACGCCTTATAATATTGAAAACTTGTAGGCTTTTATTTAGAAAGATCTGAATGAAAATAGAAAGCTTTGGAAAACTACCCACAATAGATATAAATTCAAAATTATTGTTTGGAAATATCTTGGTTCAACTAGGTATGGTAAAATTGGGAGAAACGATTTTGTATTTTGGTTTATTGTAGATACAGCGAGTGGGTCTCCATTGTGTTGGTCTTTCATTCTCTTCAGATGTTAGCAAATATTTAATAACAGTGGAAAATGTTTACATATTAGAAATTATCATATCTTATGTTCATTATTTGTATTGTTTCTATTTAATCGTAGAGTGTTTCCTGTATAATTTAAAGCATCAAGCTGTTTTTTAATAGTCTTTTCAAGTACCCTTAATTGTGTTGAGCCTCCAGTTCATATGTTTTATTATAGAATTACAAACCTGACTTAGTATTCAACCCGAATACGTTGGTTCACACCTGAAAGTTACCTAAGACTATCTACTTGTAATAAACCATACAGAGCAAGGCTTGATGCTGCAAAGTTTGTATTCCCAGCACTTGTGTTGGTAAAGGCAGGGGGATTAGAAGTTCAAGGCCTCTTCACAGCTATATAGTGAGTTTGAAAGCAGCTTAGGTTACCTGAGACCTGACTCCAGAAGACTCCACAGAATAAGTTTATTGACACTTAACATAAGTGCCACCTGGCGTTTCTTGGGGGAACTTCATAATACTTAAACACCCCAGTGAGCTCTCTTTTAATTCCTGCTTCACATTCTGTTTCCCACCTGGCAGGTTGCTGTCCTTTTATAAAGATGAGCTGAAGATAAATTTTATTGACAGTTTAAAAATCTTCAGTGTAGTCAGAGTATGAATAGAAAAACCTGACTCGAGCATTAATGATTTATTATTCATTTCAGGAAGGCATGACCATGGCTTTTTATAACTTAAATCAAACCCTTACCAGTGTTGAATTTAAAATAAATTGCAGTCAGAGTTCAATTCCTTGATTTTTTTTTTTTTAACTTTTAAAATATTATCTTGGTTTTGAGCTGCTTAGCATACCTCTCAGCAAGTACCCAGGGGGAGAGGCAGGAGGATAAAAGTTACAGGTCAGCCTGGACTACTTGAAACCCTGACTCAAAAAAAAAAAAAAAAGCAAACAAATTATCTTTGTTTGTACAATAAACAAATTTATCAGATAACTTTGTGTAGATTAAGATAACAAATGATCATATGATCATAATGGCTTTTGTTGTTTTGTTACCTCTTTCTTGACTATCTTAGAGTTAACAAAGAGGGAAAATGAATGTAAATGAATCCATATTGTAATTTATTTTTAAGGCTATTTATATTTAAAAACAGGACATTTATATGTAACTAAACAGCATGCTTTCATCTGCAGACCAAACTTTTTAAAGAATCCTTTAGTGTGTTGACTATAGCACTGGCATGGGAAGAGAAAAAGTAAGAAGTAGTGCTTTGGGAAGATCAGTAGTGAGGACGGGGCAGGGAAAGGAGGGGCTCGTATGGATGCAACTGCAGGAACCTCATGATGCCTGGTGCAGAGGCCATGGTGCTTAGATTATTGAAACACTAGATGAGGTAGTTCTGAGAGTTGGAATGTAAAATGCGTCTCCCCAGTTCCGGCCTTTCTAGGGGTCTTTGCCAGTGTCTTAGAGCACTCTTCCATTGCTGTTTTCTGACATAGTTAAAGGAAATGTATTGTACATTAAAGGGTAGTTTTAGTGAGGAAACGTTGGAGTTCACTGGATAAATGCAGATTAACATAATTGTGTTATTTATGTGAAAGTGATTTTGAACACATTAATCCGAACTTGGAAATTAGTCATAGTTTTAGGTTTACTTTGAGTTTGGTTAACAAATGACAGTGTCTGATTGTAATTTTCAAAATTATATGCAGCACATACCGTGTCATTATAGATATCATAAGTTTCAAATCCTGTTTTCCAATAGGATGTTGATGCTACAAATCCAAATTATGAAATTATGTGTATGATCAGAGACTTCAGAGGGAGCTTGGATTACAGACCCCTAACAACAGCCGATCCTGTAAGGTCCTTTGTGAATTATTACTCTGAAGATGTCATACTATAAATAAAAATATTCATACTTACTATTGTATATTTTATTTACCTGTATGGTTTTGTCTTTTCTTATGAGGCTCAGTTCCTGTATTTTCACAAATCATGAGTCATCTATTTTTTTGTTCATCTTCTTTAGTTTTAATATTAGAAGTGCTGCCTGCATAGCTGCTCTTTGCAGGCAGAGCCTCCTTGTCTTCAGATGCCTACACATCAGCTAGTGAGTCCATAAAGAGACCTAGTTTCTTTTTTGACCTTTACGCAGGCTTTGAGCTCAGTTCCAAGCTTATTTAATTTCAGTTAAATCATTCTAGTTTACTATTAAACTAATTTGTTGTTTTTAAATACGCATTATTCTGGCTTTTGCTCTTAAAGGGCTGTAATAGACCAGAATTTCATTGCTGTAAACTATTCTGTAGTTTCATTACCTGCTGCAAAGTAATTTTTATCTTTAGAATTTTAAAATATGGTTTGTCATTAATGGGCATGGAGACGTGGCTCATCTCCACCTCTGACGAGCCCTCAGGTTTCCAGCAGCACTATCTCAGGCCCATCTGCCTGTACCTGCAGCTCCAGGGGAACCCAGCACTTACTTGCACATAACTATAATATGTGCATACAATTAAAAATTAAAAGTTTTTTTGTTGTTCATAAAATTGTAGATATTTTACTCAGTAATATGAAAATACTGGTGGGTTTCGTTTGTTTGTTTTATTTTATTTTTTCCTGTTAATGTTCTTTGCTAACAGCGTTACCTACTACAATAAACATTTTGAAAAATGCCAATTTGTAGAATAGAAATTTTTACTTTTATTGTATGTATCATGTCTTGAGATGCATGGAAGGTACCTTTTTAATAAGAACTAGTGCTAAGAATAATAACACTTCTAAAAATTTTATTTACTAAGTAATAGTTTATCAAAAACAAAGTTTTCACAATGCTCAATTCTAGTAATAATTAAAATCTGTGCAATGTTAATTTGTTTTTTAAAACGTAATCATCATAGTTATGTTAAGAAATTTCTAAAAACCATAACTTATTTTTCATTGTTTTTAATAGCATTTATAAGTCAGTGAAATAATGTTTTTTAATTTCTAGATTGATGAACATAGGATATGTGTTTGTGTAAGAAAACGACCACTCAATAAAAAAGGTATGTTGCCTTGTAAAGGACTCAATTTAGAAGTTGGGCATGCTAACGCATTTCTGTAATCCCAACACTGCGGGACCTCAGAGAGATTGTTAATTCCAGGATAGTCTGGCCTGTGTTGTGAGACGTGATCTAAAAGAACATGGAGATGGTTTAGTAGGATTGCCTACTGCCAGTTCTAATGATCCCTGAGAGGCCGTGGTGGAGGAAGGGAACTGACTCTTACAGATTGTTCTCTTATTTCCACATGCATACCACCCCTAGTGTGTGTGCATACATTCACACACAAAATTAAGATAATTTTTTTAGAGACCTCAAATCATTTATTTTTTTTAAGTTTGGGTCATTAGATCAAATGCTGTGAAAATTACTGAACATTAATTTTTGTTTATTCTTTTAGAAACTCAAATGAAAGATCTTGATGTAATCACAATCCCTAGTAAAGATGTTGTGATGGTACATGAACCCAAACAGAAAGTAGACTTAACAAGGTACTTAGAAAATCAGACATTTCGGTTTGATTACGCCTTTGATGACTCAGCTCCTAATGAAATGGTTTACAGGTAAGTGAATTTGATTTAAGTTAAAATCATTTTCTTACAATTTTATTACTTCCTTGACAACTTAATGTTGTTCTTAGTACAGCTCTCCAGGGTGGAATGTGCTTTCTTATTCTGACATTAATTGAAGAAAATGTACAAAACTCTTTGAGGTTTAACATGTGATCTCTAATATTTCAAATTAGTTTTTGTTTTGTTTTTTTCTGAGTGTGGTAGCAGTGAGGAGACAAGACAGGAGAATCTCCTCAGAGTTTGAGTCTGACCTGCTCTACATAGCGAGCTCCAGGAACACATAGACCCCTGAAAGTTATTTTTTATGCTAATTAATAGTTAATTTGTACATATCATAGGCACACATATGGATATGATATTTCTGACGGGTTGGAGAGATGGTTTTGCATTGAGAACACTAGCTGTTCTTCCAGAAGACCTAGGCTAATTTTCCAGTACCAGTGTGGCTCACGACCACCTGGAACTTCAGTCTCAGGTTATTTAACATGCGCTTTTATCATCCATGGGTGCTACACTCGGGTGGCACACAGAGATACCCATTGGCAAAACACTCGTGCACATAAAAGGAAAGAAAAAATTCTGGGAAGTACAAACATAAGTAATGGTATGTGACTCACAGAAAACATAAAATTTTCCATTTAATTCTTGTACTAATAAATTTGAAATATTTGTGCATTAATTACTAATTAGTCCAAATCTTTACCTAGTGTGTGTTTACAAATAAAAGTTAAAAACTTCTGTAAGTCTACTTAAATTTGCTTATTTTTTTGATGGCTGTTTGATGGTCAGTTTGATGGTTGTTTTAGTGAATGGAATTTTTAGTTTACATTTTATGTATAGGAATCAAACGTGCACATATGAAATAAACATTCTAATTTTTATGTTATGTAGATTTTTGATATAAATATTCTTATTTCTAATAGTTACAACAGATTTTTACAACATTGCTACTATATTCTATGTAGAAATATTTTTGCATTTATTTGATGCCATGGTTTATTTCCTAATTTCATTATATAAAAATTCCCAGAAAACAAAAAATTAGAGCTAATAAGAATTCTAAGAATTGAAAATGTTACCAGTGAAATACTGTTAAGAGATCTTAGGCTAGTAAACTGGGAGAAAATCAAAGGACACTGGAATACTAACTAGGTACACTTTGAAGTATCTATTTCAAACAGGAATTATAATCAAAACTGGTAACTTTTTTAACTTTCTTCAAATCTTCCCTCCAGGTTTTATAAAGTATAAGTCTAGGTTGTTTTTTTCAATAGTTGTCAAGTGCTGATACAGGTATTTTTGTAGGATAGATTTAATAAACATCTTGAGCTTCCCTGTATTTATGCCTCACTTCACCAATACACAAACAACCCTTATACTCTGTTTTGACTGTGTGGACTGAAGACATCACACAGTTTTTGGCCTGGGCATTCTTCAGATTTATTCATGATTCATTAGACTAGAACTTTCTCCCTTGTCCTTCTCTACCTTCTACCTTCTTCAAGTTTGCATTGAAAAAAACCTAGCAAAGGTGTATGAAGCCTGGTTTGTTTTTTAGCATGTTGATTAGTGTTCTGCTCAATAAAGAAGCATTTCTTACCCCTTTTACACTTTAATTTTAATTATATCAGTGAATTTTATCAATATATTTTTTAAAGCTATAATTTTTTTGCCATTTTTAAAGCTATCAACTAAAAGCTCAGTGTTTTATAATTAATTTATATTCACTTTCCTATTTATACCTCAGTCTTCCATGTTCAGCATTTGAATCAAATTGGAAAGGTAACAAGGCTAGATATGATTATAAGCTTGTGAGGTAACAACAACCACAAGAAAATGTTATTTTGAGCTTTTTCCCTTTCTTATCCTATGCATCTATGGACTGTTTTCAAGCTGAATATGACACTCAGTTCAAGTGGTTGGACCAAGAACAAGCTCTGCTGCACTCCCCAAATCCAGAGTTGGACCCAAGAAAGCTCATGGTCTGCTCTGCTGCTAATGACATAGACTGCTGCTTTCTGGATCCTGGAGAAGCCACATCTGAGAAGCTGCTCAGCAAACTGATGAGATACAGCAAAAGCTGCAGTGCTTGTAGCCGCAGAGGTCAATAGGAAGGGCCCAGGTGTCTGTTACACCCGACACACATTGTACATGAGCACTGAGTAGTTGGAAAAAATTGGGCTATAAAGTTGTGCCTCACCCACCATCTTCATCTGGCTTCTTGTCCACCAACCACCACCTTTCTAAACTATTATTGTAATATTTGGATGCTAAACTGACAAATTATTGGAAGGAAACCACTTTCACAGCCAACAATGCAGAAAATACTTGCCACAAGTTCGTAGAATCCCAAAGCAAGGGTTTTATTTTAACACTGTAAGACTAGACAGAAAATGGCCCCAAAATGTGTTATCATGTTTCCTATTTTTCTTGATAAAAGTGTTTGGATTTAAAATTCATGGTTCAAAGCAAGTTTTTGTGTTTGTTTGTTTTACCAGTCTAATATTTAAACTACTGCTATATTTTGTTAATGAATTATACTTTATAGTACTTGGGTTTCTTGTCTATGTTGTATTTGTGACACTTTTTCATTTTTCTTTTAAGGTTTACTGCTAGACCTCTAGTGGAAACAATATTTGAAAGGGGCATGGCTACATGCTTTGCTTATGGGCAGACTGGAAGTGGAAAAACTCATGTAAGTAATGTGGTAAAACCGTGTCCTGCCATGATGCTGTAGTCTCCCTCTTATAGTATAATTATATTGCCTAAAGTTTTTGGCAGTGTACATGTGACTGTAGAGGCCAGAGCACAGCCTTAGGTGTTCCCCTCCTGAGGCCGTCCAGTTTGGTTTTTGAGACAAGTTTCTCATGGGCCTGGAACTACCAAGTAAGCTAGACTGGCTGTCCAGGAAGCCCTGGATATCTGTTTGTCTAAACCTTCCCAACTCTGGAATTATGATCATGTACTTACACTGTGCTTGGATTATTTTACATGGCTTCTGAGAGATAGAACTCAGGTTCCCATATTTGTGTGGCAAGTACTTTATTGGACTGAGTTATCACCCCAACCCTAAGACCTAAATTCTTAGAATTTTTTCCTGAATAATGTCTATTCTTTATTTTCTTTCCAAATGTAGACTATGGGTGGTGACTTTTCAGGAAAGAACCAGGATTGTTCTAAGGGAATTTATGCATTAGCAGGTAAGTGTCCTTTGTGTACATAGTTTGTGATATTCTTGAATGTTATTCAAGTCCGTTTGAGTAAGGCTTTATTGTTTACTTTTGTTGTCCAGCTATACACAGTATATTAGATCAACTGTTTGATTTCAGATTATTTAAAAAGAAATGTGAGATCATGGTCAGGCGTGGTGGCACATACCTGTAAGCCTAGTACTTAGGAGGTGAAGGCAAGGTCATCTGGGTTCACAGCCATCCTCAGCTGCATAACCAATTCGAGACCAACCATGGCTATCTGAGATCCTGTTTGAAAAAAGACAAAGTCATAAAAGAAATGTAAAATTAAACTCTTGATGACAAAAAAAAATCTTAATATATTGGGTCACTAATAAAGATAGAATAATCTCTACTAGAGATTACTATAAATTATGCAGTGGCTAATTGTTACTGGATCACCATACATACACACACACACACACACAAGAGGGGGAGGGAGAAGGGGGGAAGGGAGAGAAAGAGGGAGGGAGGGGGAGGAGAGGGAGAGAATTCCTGAGATAGGAGCTCATGTGTTTTAAGCTGACCTCAGTCTTCCTATGTAGCTGAGGATTACCTTGAATTTCTATTTTTCTCTCTCCAACATCTGAACGCTGGGATTATAGTACAGTATATCAGGATGCCTGGTTTATACAATGCTGCAGACTGACCCCTGGTCTTTGTGCACGCTAGGCAGACACTACCAACTGGGCTTCATGTTGATCCCTTTCAAGGAGAAATAGTCCTTTCATGGAATGTAAAAGAGAATAGCTTCTTTTACAACTTTATTTTTCAAACTAATGTTTTAATATTTTTATTGATACTATTAACCTAATATTAACTGATTCTTATAAAAACAGAAATTTATAAAATTGTCGTATCTTAACAAACTTCATATGTGACATTTTCGACAGCTCGAGATGTCTTTTTAATGCTGAAGAAGCCAAACTATAAGAAACTAGAACTTCAAGTATATGCAACATTTTTTGAAATTTATAGTGGAAAGGTATGTGAGAAGTTTTGTTTTCTTTTGAGTGTGGGAGTGGGTATATGAGTACATATATGTCGGTAGGTGCATGTGTATGTTTCTACACGTGTACGTGGAGGGGCCAGTAGTCAGCCTCAGGTGTTATGTCTCAGGAACTGTACATTTTGTATTTTTGAGACAGGGACTTTCACTGTGGCCTGCAGCTGAACAGTTAGGATAGGCTAGATGGCCACTGTGTCCCAGGGTCTCCATGTGCCTGATACTGTGAGTGATGGACTGTTTTGTCTCTGGGATCAAACTCAGGCCCTTGTACTTGCTTGGCAAGCGTTTCATCAACTGAGTTGTCTTCCAGTTCCCGGACCTTTGTAAAAAAAAAATAATGAGGTTTTATATATTTATATATATGTTTATACATATACATACTATATATATATATAATTTTTTAACATGTGTCTATTGATATATACTAGCCATTTTTAAGTATACAGTTTGGTAGTAGTATGTATATTGCTTTATTTTATGACCTACCACCACAAGATTTATATGATTGTAAACATAATATTTGATGTCTTTTTAAGCTTTCAATGTTGGACATTGTTCTGAAAATAATAGTCTTACTACTTTTAGACTCTTTTGTAGAGGTGATTTTTAAAGCTAGTTTTTCTAATTGAAATATGGTTTTCTACAGGTGTTTGACTTATTAAATAGGAAAACAAAATTAAGAGTACTAGAAGATGGGAAGCAGCAGGTGCAAGTGGTAGGACTGCAGGAACGGGAGGTCAGGTGTGTGGAGGACGTGCTGAAGCTCATCGACATAGGCAACAGCTGCAGGTGGGTCTCAGCAGGGATGTCTGTGTCACAGCCTGGCCGTTGAGCATACCAGAAAAGCCAAAAGAAAAGACTGTGGGTAACATGGAAATAAAAGTGCTAATGTGTCAATATGTCCTTAATCACATTGTAGAACATCTGGTCAGACATCTGCAAATGCACATTCATCTCGGAGTCATGCAGTGTTTCAGATCATTCTTAGAAGGAAGGGGAAACTACATGGTAAATTCTCTCTCATTGACTTGGCTGGGAATGAAAGAGGAGCTGACACATCCAGTGCAGACAGGCAAACCAGGCTTGAAGGTGCTGAAATTAATAAAAGCCTTTTAGCACTCAAGGTAAGTAAAATGTAATTATAAAAGGCCTTTTACTTTTGACCTTAAGTTTAATTACTCAGTTGTAAAACCAGTATCACCTTGTAAAAGAGAAGGTTACAAATTTAAATTGTCATACTGGAAGTTAACAGATTTTATTGTATGTAGAATTTTTCATGCACATATTTTTATTGTTCTTAAACAAGTTGAAGAAAACAAATTGACAGGGTGTTTCTGAGGTTGCTTAGCTAGATTGTAAAAGGGCTATAGTCAGCCTGGCTTTTGTAGTGAGGCACACAACTATGGAATTGAGCTAAGAAAAATTTTCCCATCTACCAGACAGGACCCAAATAGGAGGTCTTACAGAGCCTTTACCTTGCTGTGTTAGCCTCTTAAAGACCCACAGGCAGGAACCTTAAAGCGGGTAGGAAAAGGTGAAAAATGTTTTAAAGCAAAAACATTAAAAACAGAATACTGTTCACAAAAAGCAAATAAGCAAAACTTGGGCCAAAATAAATATTTTTTCCCTTACTAGGAAATCAGAAATGGGAAGGATTACAATAAGGCCACTGTAGCTTTGGGAATTCCATTTTAAATTCTCAACTTCTTACAACTTTCCTCGTGCCTGAAATTCGAACACTAGTCATGTTTTCAGGTTTTAGAATAATTGACATTTGTTTTTGTTGTTAACTCATTGAATTAATATTTATGAAACCATTGTTAAGTACTGTAAAACTTAGAATTTTTAGAGCTCATTAATCCTTAAGAATGACTCACTAATAAAGCATAATTGGTAAGAAATGTTTTCTTATTTCTTAGGAGTGCATCAGAGCCTTAGGTAGAAATAAACCCCATACTCCTTTCCGAGCAAGTAAACTCACTCAGGTGTTGAGAGATTCCTTCATAGGTGAAAATTCTCGTACTTGCATGGTAAGTTAGCTTTGGATTTTGTTGTTGTTGTTTGTTTTGGATTTGCTTTTGTTTTTATCCTGAAGGAATAAAAATTTTTAAAAAATCTGTAGAAGTTGTAGATTTTTGCAAATCATAATTAATTACCCTTTTATTTAGCTAGATTACATTTAAGATGTGATCCCTACTAATTCGGTGGAAAGTATTATGTTGCAGCTATAACACCTTTCAGTTCTAACAGCTGAGTACTTCATTTAGCAGATGTTAACTTACTCCCACGTTCTTACTTCCCTGATGGGGATGCTAACAAATATCTCTTCATGTGCTTTGCTGTATTGCCTAGTTTGTTGTTCATGGCAAGCTAGGTAATCAAGCAGAGGTTTGTGCAGTTATGTATGGAGCTTCCCCCTTAGTCTTCCTCTCTCTTTCTTATAGGACAGCTTACCTTTTCCAGATGCTAGTTCTCCACTTCCAAATGGCCTTTCACCAGGAGCTCTAGTTCCTAAAGAACTTCAGTAGTCATGTGTGACAGTACTGAGATGTTGTCTCTGGAAGAATACTATCCCATTAGTAATAGTAAAAATAGATGGAGGGCCAGTCTGTGTCGTTCCTTTTTCTAAATGTTTGCCTTCAGTTTCTGCTGGATTTTAAATGACTTTCTGGTACCTCGAGAAAATTTGTAACTAGATTTTATAATGGTTATATGTAATAAGTAGATAGATCTTAGAGTTAGATACCAGTATAAACATTAAAAGTACATTATATGATTAGATCTTATATGCTATTTGTCAGAATTATTGTCTTGACTATTTATGATTTTTTCTTTGCTTCCCCTTTATAGATTGCCACAATCTCTCCAGGGATGGCATCCTGTGAGAATACTCTTAATACGTTAAGATATGCAAATAGGTATGAAAGCAATTCCTGCATTTTACATTTTGAAATCTAATATATTAGAGCAGTATATAGTGTTGTCTCTATGTCTGCTAGGGAAACCAGGCACGATGGCACAAACCTGTAGCTGTAGCCTTTGATGATACAGGCAGAATGGTTACCAGTTGTATGGTATTTCTAATCTCTAACATGAAATTTATATCACAGCTACCACAGAACCCTATAGGGCAAGTTTTATCATATGTTTCTTCAAAATTTCAAAATAAAGTTTTATTTTTTCTTTAATATTATTTAGAATTGTCTTGTAAAATTGAAAAAAATAAGTAGAAAAAATGTATAATTAGATAAGACTGACATCTTTATTAAAATTGACCTTTTTGTCCCATAATGTGATTATATTTTTCCATTTCAACAAGTTATGATTTATAATATTATACCACATTTCAGTGAAATTATATAATTATATAAATAAATATTTTTGTATATTATAATATTAGAAATTAGGGAGTTAATTTCTTAAATTGTTCTGCTTTGTGCTGGAATTATTCCTTATGGTATCCAATTAAACACACACACGTAATAGCACACATATAGGCATACATGTATCATTTAAGTGATAACTGTTCTTTCTGGTGCTGCATATGGATGATACGTTATTCACATCAGTAACATTTCCAACTTCAGTAAACAACTGAGTTGTTAAGTATGATCAACACTGAGAAGTAAAAGTGTTTATGCCTTACAATCATGATAGTTTCAGGTGCCCTTGGAATTCTGAGTTATGATAGAATTATTATTTTTTACCCCTCCCCCAACACTTACACTCTTCTTATTTGGAGTGATTATTCATATAATTTGTAACTACATTTATATTTGAGAATCTGATACATGTGTATAGTATTTTGATGAAACTCCACACATACTCCTCACCCTAACTCTCTTTGCCCCTGAAGGTTTAAATGTCTATAATGATGTTACACTTATAATTCTAGCCTACAGATAAAATTCTTTATGGCCTACTTCTAATATGGAAATTGTCTTCATTTTTTTTTTCAAAACCATATTTTTTCTTGTTTAGTAAAAATAGAGACTTTATTTTCCAATTTTTTAAAAAATATAAATTCTTATACATAGAAAAATATGTAAAAATTGGCCAGGCAGTGGTGACACAGCCCTTAATCCCAGCACTGGGGAGGGAGAGGCAGGTAGAGTTTATTATCATTTAAAAAAATCTCTTCAATTGAAGCTGGGTAGTGGTGGTACACGCCTTTAATCCCAGCACCCAGGAGGCAGACGCAGAGGGATCTCTCAGCTAGGGCTATACATACAAACTCAATTTGGGAAGCAGCTCTTAACTAGCTTCCATAAAAATTCTTGTGTGTTCCTTCAGAAAAGAAAATTGTTCAAACCTATTGCTGTCTACCTTGAGGTCACCTGATTTCTTTAAAATAATTTTATTTTCATTTTTAAAAGGTTGTTTCCATACCTGTAAATGTATCTTTGAGTAACATTAGTAACTATATTTTGATTATTCTTTTAGACTTTTATATTGTGCTTTTATTGTTTTGGCCAAAGAGATTTTTTAAATGATAGCAAGGATTGTTAATAAGCACTGGCTGACTGGCTCAGAAATGTAACTCAGTGTCCATGTTTGCTAAGCATGATAGGCCCTGAGTTCTTTTCTCATTCCATGGTGGGAATATCCACAAAAGTACAAAATATAAAAGCTACTTAAAAATATAATAAAGCTTTAAGTAGGTTCAGTTTTTAATAACTTTTAAAGTTTGAACTATGAGTCCGTAGCCACAGACATTCTTGTCTTTTAATTAATTTTTTAAGTATGTAGGAGTTTTTAAAAATAATTTTTAGATGCTTTTCCCAAAAGGAGGGATAGAGAATACTTTTTGTGGTAGATTCTTATTACAGAATAAAAAATATTGTTTTAGATATCAGATAGAATTAAACCCCTCCATGTCTTAGAACTTTAGCCAAAAAAAATTCCTTTTAAACATGAAGCTACTATATACAGTGAGATCCCAAGATTTTCAGATTTTTTACTACTTAAACCACTAGTTTGAGGTCTTTTGCTAACCCAAGCTGTCCTCCCAACCATGTATCTGAGAATGCCCTTACATTCCTGTGTTCTTCTTGCCTCTGCCTTCCCGTTGCTGAATAGAGATGTGCGCCATCGTGTCCATTTAGACATGGAACGATTTTACTATACTCTGTTGTCCTAGAGATTGTACTAGAGCCTTGACCATTTTAAACAAATGCTCTATAATAAGCTACATCTCCAGCCTGGGAATTGTTTACTTCATTTTTAAGATTCAGCATGGAGATGGAAGAATAGTTTTTAGAACAAAGTACCTGCCTCCCTACTTCCTGGCACCAAAGCCTTCATGTGCTTTTCTTTTCTTATCTTGAGCATGGTGAGATCAATGGCCATACCTGTATTAAAGGACTGTTTTGTGAGCTGAGAGAAGTAATCTTTGTAAAATGTTGAGTATGGCACTTGGAAATTGTTTTTCAGTCTCTTTTAGGTAAAACTATATATTTTAGAAGTGTTCTATAGCAGTTTGGGCAAAGTTTATAACAAAGCATATTAGAGTTAATAATCAAGATGATAAGTCCAATTCAGTCAATTAATAAAATTGAAATACACTGTCAGGTGTGTGGCACTTGCCTGTAAGCCTAGCATGTCAGAGGGCATGCAGGAGGATCAGGAGTTTAAACTCATCACTAGCTACACAGAAGTCTCCAGAAGGGAAAAGAAAGAAGTATGGAACAGAAGGAATAGTAAGGGAGTGGTTGTTCTAAGAAGAAAAGCTGTACTAGATGCTTGTGAGCCAGTTTTCTGAAGCAGATATGCTCTGGGTAACGGAAGCACTTAAGAGTGATTGAAACAGAATAGTTATTGAGAGCTTGCTTTTTATTTATTTTTAGTGTCATTTTAGACAATTTATTAGTGTATATAGTATAGTTTGGCTTGCACAGGAGGATATGTAATAGAGAAAAATTCTATGGGTGCCACTAATAGTGTTTCTCAATGAGGAGATTCTGAAGCATACAAGAAATAAGAAATAAATACATACATACATACATACATACATACATACATACACACATACATACATACATGCCTCCAGTAAAAGAGTAAAGAGACAGTCTGATATTAAACCTTCGACAGTGAATGGATACAAGTGCCTGTGTTCATTTGATCTGTATGTAATTAATGATACTTGACTAGGTTTTGGCTTATGAAGAAAGATATTTAGTTTGACCTAAGAAAAAGAATTCAGATTATCTTAAATGGCATAGAAATAATTTGGACTCGAGTAAGCTTGTACTTTAGTTACACCATATTCTTCCTGAATAACATTAAATGACATACTTGATTTTCTCATCTGTGAAATGAAGATAACCTAAGATTTTTACCAGGTCTATATAATGCCTAGGAGTTATAAATTATGGTACTTAAAAAATAATGGCTACTATAAAATGTCATGTGATGCAAAATGTATATAATTCAGTTAAATATAACTTATAGTCGTTAGCAAAAACATGTCAGAATTCCATTCCTAAAACATTTACCTCCCATATTCATAGTCAAAGTCACCAACCACAAAAACTTAACCATTTTATTTTTTCAGTCATATGGAGCCTTCATAGCTAATAGAGTTCTAAATGGGTAAGTTAGAGTTAACTTGCAAACCATGAATAGATACCCTAAGACAGTATAATGAATTTCATTATCATATCTGGTTTGTAAAGCACTGCAAAAGTTGAGGTCTCAAGGCTGGGAAGCTGGTTCACATAATAAAGTGCTTGCTGGCCAAGCATGAAGACCTGAGGTTGCATCCCCAGCATGTTTGTAAAAAGCTGAGCACAGGCAAACACCTGTAACCCCAGCGCTGGGAGACAGGAGGAAAACAGGCCAGCTAATCAAGCATGTTGTTGAACAACAGGCTTGGTTGAGTCTTGGTCTCAGAAAATAAAATGGACAACGTCATTCCACATCAACTGTAAATATCCACATCCACATATATGTGTGTGTATGACACTGAGACGCACATAAGCGCACGCGCGCGCACACACACACACACACTTGTTGATTCATTGAGATGGATAAACTGTGCTTCTGTCCACATGAAGAAATTAGATTGACTGGGTCATGTAGTTAATGTAGGGGACCTTCAGATTCACGTAGTAGCCTTGACATGAGAAGTTTCTAGGAAGATTTATGAGAAATGGAAAAAGTAAACTAGGAAGGAAAGATTAGTTTTTTGTTTTGTTTTTTCCCTTTTTCCTTTCTTTTTTCTTAGTTGGAGATCAGTAAAACATAAGTGTAGAAACCTATTTATGAAATCATATTCTAAACAATGTGGATACTCTTTCTGAACAAAAGTTGAACTGTGCATTGCTGTGTCTCCCAAGAGCTCTCTTAATTCTCACTGTTTTGGTACTGCAGAGTAAAGGAGTTTGGAATTAGTCCTTCAGACATTCCCTTCTCCCAGGGTAGTGGCAGTCGCCCTGATCTCTCTCCTTCTTACGATTATGACGACTTTTCTCCTTCGATTACCAGGTCTTACTTCATTCTATACTTAAGATTTTCCTTTGACTAGCTTGTTTTGAATTGTGCTGCACATAAACATTTCATCTGTTACTTTTGTTCCAAGCCATTTTTCATTTTCACTTCATTTAGCAGGTGGTGGTTGTACTGCATGATCTGCATTTTTATGTCCTTTATTAATTTTCTTTAAAAGGTTTATTTAGAATTTAAAGCCCCATACTTCGCTTTTTCTTTTTAAAAGATGATGTCACTTTTGCATATTTATCTTTATTGTGTGATAGTTTCTTATCTGCAAGGAGTACCGATCCTTGTGATTCAGAAAATATATCCTTTTTAAAGTGTGTTAAATAGGAAGTTCAGCTTTTAAAAAATTACATATGATTCTTAAGATCTTTAGGCACTGAGCTGGTCATGGTGGCACAAGCCTTTAATCCCAGTACTTGGGAGATAGAGACAAGCAGATCATTTAAGTTTGAGGCCACTCTCTGTGATCTGCAAATGACATCCAGGCATACATAGTGAGACCCCATCTTAATAACTTAGCAGAATGGAATCACTTCTTACTTAGCTATTTTAGCTAAACAGTATGACTGCTGAAATCTTCATAGGGTATATAAGCTTCCCTGGTTTCATTAGTGGCTTCTTCATAGATCTTAGCAATTTTTCTTTCATAAGCTGTAATTATAATTATAGCTTTTTTCTTAAAGTATTTAATATGTATACTTTGCCAACTTTCCCTGATTATGAACAATAATTACACTTGAAGTTAGCACAAAGTTGTTTAAACTAGCATTAAACAAACACACAGATTTCAGATAAATTTGACCTATAAAGTGACACCATCAGTCTTACTGTGCTAATTGAATTGCTTTTGTATTGAAATGGTTCTTTTCTTATTGTGTGCATGAGTCTTTGATAATTTTAGATAACTTTTGTGTATTTATAGGGTGAAAGAATTAACTGTAGATCCAGCTGCTGCTGGTGATGTCCGTCCAATAATGCACCATCCACCAAGCCAGATTGATGACTTAGAGACCCAGTGGGGTGTGGGGAGTTCCCCTCAGAGAGATGATCTAAAACTTCTTTGTGAACAAAATGTGAGTGACATAATCTCTTCGTTACTGATCTAACCTTAGTTTGCTTCATCTGTAGCAGAACTTAATTGAACACTGTCACTTAGGGCAGGGATCCACAAGTCCACCCTGTGACCTAAGCAACCATCTGTTCTGTTCAGATAAGTACAGCTTTGCTGGAATATAGCTATGCTTTTCTGGTTGCTTTCTTTCTACAGTGGCAGTGACAGAATGCAACTTTATGAATCCAAAATAATTTCCTGGCTTACTAGCTCTCTGATAATAGCTTATTTAGTTTTTATATTCTATGCCTACATTAAAATTTAGTGACTAAATAGTTTAAGATTGTATATAACTACATCATATATAAATCTTTATAAAAATCTGTCAACATAATTATATGCATTAAACAGATGACGTTAACTATTAAAAATTACAGCGGCCATGCAGTGGTGGTGCACGCCTTTAATCCCAGCACTTGGGAGGCAGAGGCAGGCGGATTTCTGAGTTCTAGGCCAGCGTGGTCTACAGAGTGAGTTCCAGGACACCCAGGGCTACACAGAGAAACCCTGTCTTAAAAAACCGGAAAAAAAAAAAATTACAGTGACCTCAGAAACACCCCAAAACAAAGAGAAACAAACATACCCTTAGCAAAAAATGCTAACAATCTATCAAATCTATATTTTTCTATATTCAAAATATAAAAACTTAAATAATTTCAAAGTACATTTATTTAGTTATTTTTTGTTTATTTTATGTATATGTGTACACTGTAGTTATCTTCAGACACACCAGAAGAGGGCATTGGATCCCATTACAGATGGTTGTGAGCCACCATGTAGTTGCTGGGAATTGAACTCAGGACCTCTGGAAGAGCAAGCAGCCAGTGCTCTTAACCATTGAGCCGCTTCTCCAGCCCTAGTTATTTTTAAAAATATATAGTCTATAAGGATAGGCAAGTATAAATGAGAGAGCATGTGATCTGGATATTTAGCACAAACTGTAGTCCCAGGACTTAGGAGGCTGATGTGAGAGGATTGCTGCAAACCTGAGGCCGTAGTAAGTTATAGGCTAACAAGGGCTGCAGTGTAATAGTCTGTCAACAATAAGCAAGGTGGACCGGCCTGGGAAATGACTCAGTGGGTTAAAAGCTTATCAAAGTAAGAAGACCTTAAAAGACAAAACTAAAAATGTGATCCTAGCTTCAGTCCATTCTCCTAAATTTTGAAAGACTCCACAGTTGTTCTTAAACTCTCAAGGCAAACCTTGAACTATGCCTAGATATTATACCTTCCAAAGATAAAACCAGAGGAAGATAGAGACAGGCACCCCCTAGAGTTTATCTTTGTATTTTATTGAATCTTACTAGATCTACATAGGCCAGAATTTTTTAGGATTTAGTTTTTGTGTATGATTGTTTGCCACATGTATATCTATGTACCATGTGTGTACATTGCTGAAGGAGGCTAGGACAGCAGATTCTAGAACTGAAGTTAGAGACGTTTGTGAGCTGCCATCTGGGTGCTGGGAACCAAATTCAGGTCCTTTGGAAGGGTTGTCCTTGCTTTTAACCTCTGAGCCATCTCTCTAGTCTCAATCCGGGGTTTTAAAATGCTACATTATCTTTTATATACCCTGTGTTTCAGAGTGTGCAAATCTTCTACCTTTGCTACCACCAGGGAACTTGAGATTATTCATCAATATCATTATATTAAATGTTAGTGCATGTGTACATATTGTTGCAAAGTTCTCAGCAAGAGAGACTGAAAAGGAATAGAGTCTAAAATACGTCCTTGATAAAAAACATAATATTAAGTAGATGGCTAATGAAGTACATTAGAATTCCAAAAATATACTTCTGCAGATAAATGTGTTCTTTGGGAGTAAAGTGTATGCAATGTAGGCATTTGTATAGTTTCTGGTCCAAAGGAATTAGGATATTCTGGGCCTGAAGAGGAAGTAGCCAAGTGGGGAAAAGATATGTTGAGTGTATATTCATGAAAGAGAATATGAGGTTTTTATAGCATGTCCTGATAAAAGCAGATTATTTATTTCCATAGAAAAGATAAAATGTTCTTTACTAACTAAATTATGTAAACCTTCAGGCACGATAGTTTTAATGATGAAAGTCTGTTGTCCACTTAAATTCTTTCATGCATTTAGAATCTTGAATGATTTTTTTGTAAATGCCATTTCTACTCACGTTTCTAAGTAGATTTCTACGTAGTTGTCTTTGCCACTAAAGCCAGAGTATGAGAAAACAGTGAGTTAATAGAACAGGCGGGACACTCCACCATAAAGCTAAGCCTAGTAAGTTTTGAGTTGATGGAACCATCAAAACATGTCTGTATTTCATGTGTTTCTTTGTTGGTGAGTACAATTATGATTTGTCATTTGAGATTTCTATTAAAAAACAAAACTATCTGCCTATCTAGCCATGTGGCTGGCATACACCTGTAATTCCAAAAGAGGCTCGAAGCAGGATGATTGCTGAGAATGTGATGCTAGCCTGGACTACATATCTAGTACCGGCTTACCCAGGAATGCAGACAAGTCTGAAAATACATCAAGTAGTTCCAACTCTATGGGAAGCTAAGGCAGGAGGGATGATTAAGTCCGTCACTGTGAAACTATCCTAAGCAGTATACAGATTTCCGTTTCTCTTCAAAGAGAATTGCTACTTTTTACTGTAAAAATTAGTAAATGATTTATATAGCATATAATTAAGATTTTGTTTTTAAAAAGCTTAGTCCTTGGAAATACTGATTTTGATAGTCACTGTGAAATATATTGTACCAAAGATTGTGTCCTTACATTTTGCCTTTCATGAGAAGAAACTTAATCTGTGCATGGTGGCATGTGCCTGTGTGCTTGGCACTTGGGGTGGAGGGCACCTGAGCGACATAGTATCAGGCCAGCCAGGTACAGAGCAAGAGCCTGCTTTTTCACACAGAAAATCTGAAGTCTGGTCTTTGTGTTTTTCTTTCATGTTGTCATAAAGTCATGTGTATATGAAAGAAATAGTTAATGAAGAGAAACCAGCACGAACTAGTAAAGCCTGAAATAAACTTTACAGTAACTAAAAAGCTGGACTGTTTCAAGAGACGTTTTTTAGGGTATGTCCACAAATAATAATAAATTCCTAAGTGAAAAGGATTTACTTATGAGTTGGTTGATTTACTTAGACTTACATTATTCTGACCCAGAAAAAGACATTGTGACTTTTCTTCTTCTATTATTTTAATAGTTTTTTCCATTTGTCTCCGAAGTTTAATTTGCCTTTCGAAAAAGACTGCAAAACTGCTTTTGAGTCTGAGCTTATAGCTTAGTGGTAGAATATCAGTCGCTTTTAAAAACATGAGTTTCTCAGTAGGCTCCCAAATAAGGAAGAAAAGTAAAAATAAAACTTAATGACATTTAAAAATAATAAACTTTAGGTCATCTTTTTAAACTTTGTGTTTTAAGGAAGAAGAAGTTTCTCCACAATTGTTTACTTTCCACGAAGCTGTCTCCCAGATGGTAGAGATGGAAGAACAGGTTGTGGAAGATCATAGGGCAGTGTTCCAGGTATGTAAGAAAAGGCCTAATTACAAGCAGACCTTAAATTAATCAGTACTTTCTGAATTCTTTATATAGAACACTATTCTTTTAAAATTGCGTAGTTGAATATGTTTATATTTGTAGGGCATGTGGTAGTAAATCTCTCTCTGCAGTGTTGTTCTTTAGTATAATGAACAGGCTGTGGGTTGGTGGCTCACACTTTTAATCCCAGCACTTGGGAGGTAGAGGCAGATCTCTGTGAGTTCAAGGACAGCCAGGACTATACAGAGAAACCCTGTCTTGAAAAAGGAGGGGGGAAAACCCACAAATACATACATCTAATAATAAATGTAATGAATGGCTCTGAGGATGTAGTTCAGTGGTAGGATGCTTGCCTACCACTAACGAAGCATGCCAGGGTGCAGCCCTAGCTAAAAATAAAATTTATGAAAATATTTAATTTGACTGAATAAAGAGGTCATGTCTCCTAATAGTTTTGAGAGTATCAGTTTAAGTATGTTTGACTTAGAATTCACAATATGTAGATCAGTCTGATAGAAGTATTTGTGAAACATAACAATTCACATCTTTTTATTGAATTTTTATCATTAGGAATCCATTCGCTGGATAGAAGATGAAAAGGCTCTTCTAGAGATGACTGAAGAAGTAGACTATGATGTAGACTCGTATGCTACACAACTTGAAGCTATTCTTGAGCAAAAAATAGATATTCTAACTGAGTTACGAGGTAATTTATTTTCCATCTTTGTGTTTATTTGAACTTTGCGTGGTATTAGGATGTGTAGTAATGAGGTTTTGCATGATGACATACAAAGCAAAGATTGTTATAGACAATGTTAGCACCTTCGTTCAAAACATATAAAGATCATTGTTTCTCTTAAAACAATAAAATTAAAATATAGGTTGGGGGATGATTTCATAGGTGATAAGTGCTTGCTTTCTAGTGAGAACGGAAGTTTTGATCCCTACAACCCATGTAAAGAAAGATTAGGTGCAGTCACACACATCTGTTGTCCCAGTGCTCCTGTGGTAAGTTGAGAGGGAGGTAGAGACATAAAAACCCTGGAAGTCGCAGCTACTCTATAGAGTGGTTTATGCTGTGGTAAACAACAGAGACCTTCTTTTAACACAGCTGCAAAGTAGAATTCCTGGAAAGTAACTGTCTAGAGGCTGATTGATTAGAATTTCAGGGACATGGAGAAGTTGGAATGTTGCAGATCCTGAGCCTCTTAACAGTTTCTCTAACTCCCAGTAAAGAGTCATTCCCAGTTCACTTCTGGGTTGAATCTAACTTTGTAGAACTAGCAGATAAAAGCAGACCTAACATCTTGATAAACTGATAAAAACTTTTGGAATGTATTAACAGAACCAATCAAAAGATAAATGTTATAAAATAGCATCTGAGGCTAACAGCTGAATCCCACCTTTTAGATATTTCCACCATTGCGTTTAAAAAAAAATGGCTTCATGACTTTCTTTGTTCCATTACTATAAAAACCTTCATAAAATTATTTGTACTTGAAACATAGAATTGCCATCATCACTGACACTTGGCTCCAGAATACACATGTCCTATCTCCCTTGAAAGAGGCCAGGACAGGTTCCCCTGAACACTCTAGCACTTGTACTCACATGAACATGGACACTATTACCCTGTATACTACACATACACACAGATTAATAAACAAATTTACCATCTTCCATTGTCTCTAGTCATGTTTCATGCCCTGACTTTCTGCCTGTACCTTTAAAAATACCTTGTATATATTGATTTTGTTCCTGCTTCCCTGAGTGTTGATGTATGTATATATGAAATCAGAATGAAATTCCTACTTTTAGCCACAGTTTTGCTGCTTAAAATTTTAAAGCAAGCCTTCCATGAAGTCAGTGATTGGACACCATGTCAAATATGGTCATCAATGACTGTTTCATAAAGTTAATTTTATAAAATATTGTATTTCTAAAAGGGAAACTTAAGCTTACTAGTTTTTTCACATGTAGGTCTCATCACACAGTATTATATGTTGTGATGATTGAACTCAGGGCCCCCTGCATACCAGAGTTATATTGCAGCCAAAGTAAAATTACATACTGGTCATTATTTGCTAAGGGGTGCTGTCCCGTGCAAAGTAAAATGTTTGAGCATTCTTGCTTATAAGCATTTATCCACTAGAGGGCAGCACCATACTGGTTGTGATAGTAAAACACCTCTAGGCATGTCTAAGTGGTCCTGGAAAAAGCTGCTTCCATTTGAGCACCACTGCTGTAGAAAAATGTCTCATTTCTAGTAGCTCCTTGTAAACAATTTTAACCTTTAACAATTTATTAACCTATTGATAACTGGTCAATAAAAGGTAGTAGATAGAATATGTAAGAGCAATTATGTATTGTTCTGTTAACGTCTCTCATAATCCCTGATGAGAAAACAGATATTATTTTTTGAAATCAGGTTTCAAATTTTCTTAGCTAAAAATGGTGGAGTAGGACTGAGTAGACATGTCATAATATTGAAAGGAGCATCTGCTTTACATCTGAGTAAGACTCGTCATTTCCCTTTTAGATAGGATTGCATATTTAAACATTTAAGTCCTTCCTGAATTCTCAAAAGAATAGAAACAGACTAAAACTGAATAGTATAAAATATGTATAAGAGAAACTGGTTGAAAGTAAGTTCCTACTAGGTATGTGTGAGTTAGTGGACCAGTTATGAGGTATTTAGTAGACGCTATCAAAGTTATGCACTGTATTGCTTGTTTACAGTACTTATTCCCTGTCCTTTTCTTATTCCAAGATAAAGTGAAGTCTTTTCGTGCAGCGCTACAAGAAGAAGAACAAGCCAGCAAGCAAATTAACCCCAAGAGACCCCGAGCCCTCTAAGTTGGTATTTGCTACTAAAGGATCCCCAGAATCCCCAATACTGTAACAATGGTGGTCCAACTGTAAAGGCCACTTGAACATTTTTGAAATCTTAAGTGTGTGGAAAATATCTTGTCCTTCATCTGAATGACATTTCAATTTTGTGAAACACTCCTTTGTCTACAAAATGCTTCTAGTCCAAGAGGCACAACTAACAATTCGGATTAGTGAAGTATTTTGTTTCATTTACCCAAATAGTGATTGCTTTTGGATATCCTTGCCAATTTTATGTAAAGATTTTGGAAGTAATCCAGAAGTGGAAAATAGGGGAAGCCACAGAATTTCCTTTAACTCAGATCAGTTTTCGTAGCAAGACTGAGCAATTTTGAATATGTTGCGTGCATGCATACCTCATCAGTGATTGTCCATACTTTGCCTACTCCTAGAGACAGTTGTGCTTACTCATCCTTCTGTGCCTTGACTAATAAGGCTATTGACCCTAGATTTCTGAAACACAGCCAAGATAAATGACATTCCTTATTTGTAACTGTAAATTACCTTTATTGTGTGTACATTTTTACTGTATTTGACTTTTTTTGTGTGTGTGACTAGTTAATTTTGCAGGATGTGCCATATCAATTGAACGGAACTAAAGTCTGTGACAGTGGACATAGCTGCTGGACCATTCCATCTTATATGTAAAGAAATCTGGAATTATGATTTTAATACCATGACATGTGATTATAATTTTCTTAGCATTTTCTTTGTAAAAAACTAAAATATAAACTAGTTGGTGTATAATAAAAAGTAAAGAAATTCTGAGAGGAGTTTTATCTTAGGATAATACATATATATATGCAGTGTGTGTGTGCCAGTGGTATTAACAAGACTAATAGTGTAATTTGATCCTTAACAATGCCGTTATTTAAGTTGAAGTGTTTATTAGCTCACCAAAGTTTAACGTACTGTTAAAGGAAACTGGCTTCTGATGCATGAACATTTGTATGTACACTGAAAGTAGTCCATAATATGTTAGATAAACCAAGCATAGACAGTATGTAACCCCTGAGAAGTGTTGATGACTTATGAGGCAGGTCATATCAAGCTCCAGCTCCATCTAATACCTAGTATGTGATGGCTTGTTATTTGGTGAGAATCATATTTCACCTATATAGGCTACTCTTTAAATGGCAGCACTCATTTTTATAGCTGCTAATCTAAGAAAGAAAACTGGCCAATTTTCATGTAAATATTGTTTAAAGATATATATATATATATGTGTGTGTGTGTATATATCTCTAGGAGTTTTCCCTTGGATCCCACTATATTGTCTAGTAGGTTAACCAAAGACCTTCCCATGGATCTCTTGGTTAACTCTAGGGAACCTACTGATTTACTCAGTAACCACGGGGAAATCTATGAATAGAGTCAGCAAGCCAGATTCTTCACTTCACTAGTCATAAATGAGAGGGTAGCTGAGAGGAATCCTACACCATGGTGAAAAACTCTGTAAACATGAAATCTAAATCAAATGTAGATTTTTTTCACAATATGCTTATTAATAAATGAAATTTATGAAACAAATTTAGAAATAATGTACTTCAATATAATCACCTTTGTTTTGGAAGAACTCAGGTTTTCTTGCAGTTTTTTATGATATATTCTTTGTATTTGTTTCAAAGACAAGAGGAAGAACGAAGGATTATTTCTATTGACCTTGCAGAAGTTGTTTAAGAAGGTAATTTTTGCTGGGTATAGTGGTACATGCCTATTTTCAAAGCAGGGGCAGGTAGATTTCTGAGTTTCAGGCCAGCCTGATAGACATACTAAGTTCTAGGACAGCCAGAGCTATGTACAAAGACCTTGTCTTCAGTTTTGAGGATGGTTCATATGTAATGGGCACAATAAGGACACAAACTTGCGCATAACTTGCCTAACACTTATGGCATTGGACAGGTATTATCTTTGAAGGTCCTTATAAATATATGTTGCCTTTGGCTTCGTCCTGATCTGTAGTCAGAGTATATCAATAAACACTGGGAGGTAAAATATGATTGAGCTTTACAGAGGAAAAGATTTAGTTAGGAGAAAAGCTGAGAGAGCCTAGTCAAGCAGACTTGTTCCCTAATGTAGAGACAGTACAAGTGAACTCTGTGAAACTGTTCTCTGATAATAAACAAACTCTAAAAACAGTTACTGTTAATGTGACAAAAGTTGCTTCAGCAGCTAAGGAAATTTTTTTGTTCTAGATTAAATATTCTTTAGAAATTTCTCAAACATAAAAGCTGCTAACTATTCATAGCTAACATCATAACAGTGTTTATAATTATATGACTTTGAAGCTGGATTTTGGAGGAAAAACTTGGCAAACAATTTATATTCTTAAGTTTACTTAATTGGAAATATTTCTTTTAGGTTTTAGGTATAAAGAGAGCCAAATATCCAATGAAGCTAGTTTAATTTCCTTATATAAATAAAACTAATTTATTAAAATATATAAACAGCATTTATCTTCTATCTGACAATATTCAGGTAGTAGAATTTTAATTATCTTGAAGTCAGGAATAACCAGGAGCCTGTAGTTGTAGTCTGTTCTTTAAAGAGCTAAAACTGAAACTGGAAAACTTCTTTGCAGTACACAAGTGCAATCCCAGAATTAATTTAGGGGCTGAGGCAAGATTCTGAGATTAAAGCCAACCTCAAAAAGACCCTCTCATTCAAGAAAGGGAATAAATCATAAATTAATAACCTGCTTGATTGACAAAACCCTCCAGAATTTTTCTAAATCTGAAAATTGTAGATCTTGTCTCCCTTAAGAAAATACATGATTTAACATGAGTTAGTTTTTTTCAGGCTTCTGCTTTCACAGGTAGAGTCATATGCAGAACATGCCTGTACTGTGTCACTGCATCAGACTCTAGCTCCTAGAATTATAATGTTGTTTGTGTTGCAACAGGCAAACATTAACACATAGGAACTATATATATATATAGGATGAAGGTGTGTGAAGAAAAGTCACATTAAGTTCCTTACAGTATATGTGAATGAAGAGTAGTATGGGGACTTTATGACTAGTTGAGTGAGCTGCAGGCCTAAGTGAGCGTCACAGTCTAAAACACAGTGAATCAAAGTACCATCTTCATCAAATACAATGTTAGAAAGCATAAGTGTATGGTTGTGCGAGTCTGCGGCTTTCAAACTTGGAAGGCCATTCTATTTATATTGAACCCTGCCCTTTGCAGTATATTTAAAACACATCAACCACCTTTCACATACAGGATAATAAATGGTATAAAAGTATTATTAAATAATTTAAGAAGTAAATGATGTCCTGTAGAACAAAATTAGTGGTATTCTCAAATATTAGGATTATATACTTTCATTTTTTTTCTTGGTCTTGAGAAAATTGTTTTCAAGTGGCTAGGAGAAGTGGATACCTTCTGCATTGAATCCATGTAGCAACCTGAGGGAGAGGAGACCAAAAAGGATGATGTTAACCACAAACCCAACTTCTGAAACAAAGTGTACCTATACCATTAATCCTCAGACATACACCCATCAACATACTTAAGGCTCCTACTCCAAGCACTAGTCATTAAGGAAACTTAAGTACACCTTAATAAAAACCATGGCATGCTTGTCTTTTGTTGTAATTTACTGTTTGAAATTAAATTGGTACTGACTGAAATTACCTTAAAGACTTGCTATTCTTGGCCTAAGCTCAACGGCACTTTTCGATTTCAGCATGAGTAGCTGAAAAAGAAACTAGCTGGAATCTGAGACAAAGTGAGATGAGTAATCTCTGCTTATTCTCTGGACTGTTACTGAAGTTTACTAAAATATACAGTACTTCTCTTTGAGGATACTATGTGCTTATCTGACTTTTATTAGAAAATGGCATGCAGAGGAAGTTAAGAATGAAGTTTTTAAATTAATGTATCTGTACCTGAGGTTATTTTTTAGGATGGCCTATAGGAAGAGGCCCGTGTGGACTAAAATGTCTGGAAAAGCAAAGTGTAGGTGCTTAGGATTAGCATCCAGTGAAGACTCAGTACTCCTGCTGGCTAGCCAGTAACACAGTAACAATTGTTCTAGACTGTCCTACTGAAAGAGCAAATTAATGACTTACAGCACTCCATCCTCATTTTTAAAATTCAGTCTCTAGAACACTAATGCTTTAAAACTGGGTAAAATTGAGGAGACATCCTAGAAGAGTACCTGTCAAGCTGTGCAAGGCCAATGCAGTCTCTAGCAGTGTAGGAAAACAGTTAACAAAATGTCCAGTAACTTCTGAAAGTTAGTGTCAGTAATCAGTACAATTGGGTAATAAACTGAAACTTGCTTAATAGAAAGTAAAACAAAATTTAGTCCACATCGCCGAAATCTGTGGTACCCTTTAACTTTACAGGTGTAAAATTTGCCTCAGGCCACATAACTGCTATTAAATGGATAATCAGATGATGTTGTTCTAACTGGAATTTCATGCTTCTCTGTTTAATAAGTAAGGAAATAATGGGTCATCAACTCCAGTTGTGTGTGTTACAATGCTTTTTCTAATGTGAAGAGGTGAGCAGAAGCTGTTAAGATCATGAATGAGTTTGGAGCAGGAGGAAAGAAAAACACAGCACACATAAACCCAGGCTATGTTCTGGCGCAGACTGTTCTTTACTACTGTTTGTAACCCATTCATTCTGCCACAGCTAACTAGCTGCCATCCTTTACCCCAGTGGTTCTCAACCTGTGAGGCATGACCCCCTTGGGGTCAAATGACCCTTTCACAGGGATTGCCAAAGACCATTGAAAACAACAGGTTATTTACGTTACAATTCATAACACTAGCAAAACTACAGTTATGAAGTAGGAATGAAAATACATGATGGGGGTCACTACAACATGAGGAACTGTACTAAGGAGTTGCAGCACTTAGGAAGGTTGAGAACCACTGCTTTACACCAAATAACTGTTTTCCACTCCATGAAAGTGCTATGCAATAACTCACCCAGGTAGCACCTTACGCTGCTTAAAAGCCTTTAAATCTCTGTCTGAAGATACCACAGTAAAGAAATGTAAGCATTTAAAACAACAGATGTAATTACCTGATAAAGTCATCTATGTCCATGGAACGGGCCCGTTTGTCACTAAAACCTGTGCTGGTTAGGATTCGCTGTATTTTATCTGCTATACTGAAATCTTCTGGTATTACCTATCAATATAAGATCCAGAATAAATGATCAACATATCTTTAATGAAGATACCATGACTCTTCTTTCAAGTTCAGTAATTATAGTCACCTTTAATAAATCTATAAATGACAGCTGAGAAAACTGACGGTTTGGGTAAGACTTTGATTTCTAATAAGAGGCTGATTTTTTGACATAATATTTTGAGTTATGCATGCATATATTGCCTTTCATCTTTAAAAATGTAAAAATGTAGGTTTCAGACTTCATGAAATTTTAAAGCAGTTACTGGTCTTTTAAGAATATTCGTACATTCTTGATACATAGTTCACCTAACTGGGTAATTTACTCTGTAATTACTCTCAGGAGTAACTTCTCTTTTAAGTATAATAGCTCACCCCTGTAATCCTAGCACTTAGGAGGCAGGAGGACTAACCCAAATTTAAGCCAAGCTTATGCTACAGAGTAGGACTCAAAACAATAGTGATTGACTTTACTTGATTTACACTATTTATGCAAAGACCTTTTAAAATCTAACTTAGTTTTTAAAATTAGCTTCATATATTGGAGCTTTTGTCCATATTAGAGAATAGAGACAGCTCCATGGTATATTAAGCCAGAAGAGAGTATGGGCCATGAAAAATACAAAGGAAGAGTCCAGATAGTGGTTGTATATGCCTTTAAACCTTTAATCCCAGCGTTTGGGAGTTTGAAGCCAGCCTGAGTCAACAGAGCTATTTCTGGGACAGCCAGGGCTACAGAGAAACCTGTGTCTCCAAAAATAAAAACAAAAGCAAAAGGAAATAGTCTTAATATGTCTGCTCTGTCAAACTTAGAATGCTTGAAAACCAACAAACTTGGCATATACCCGAACGTGTATGCACAAGGACTCCCACACTTGAATTCAAATCAAACTGTTAACAGGCATGAGGCATATAACCGGAAATCAGCTATTCAGGCTACACTTTGTTCTGATTATTTAAAATTTCTAGATGTTTAAAATAAAAGCAAAACAGAAACTTTAAATTTGTGCCTACTAGTTTGATATAAGTCTTTAGCCCCAGCACTTGGGAGATAAGTAGACAGTTGCAGGTCCTCAACTATACAGTGGCAGCCTGGGCCACTATCTGAACAACAAACAGGATAATCACAATTTAGAGTAGCGTGGCAGCTTAAATAGGTTTTGGGCCCCATAGACTCAATGTGTGTGAATGTTTGGCCCATGGGAAGTGGCACTATTAGGAGGTGTGGCCTTGTTGGAGGAAGTGTGTCACTGTGGGGTGGGCTCTGAAGTCTCCTAGTGCTCAAGCTCCACCCAGTGCAGAATCAGCCTCCTGGCTGCCTGCAAAGAAGACAGTTCCTTTCTGCAGCCTGCTGATGAAGATGTAGACCTCTTGGCTCCTCCGGTACCAAGTCTGCATGTATGCCTGCCATGCTTTCCACCATAATGGACTGAACCTCTGAAACTAAGCCAGCCCCAATGAAATGTTTGCCTTTATCCAACATTAAAGATTAAACACTATTATTAAAGGTTTGCCTTGGTTATGGTTTCTCTTCACAGCAATAAAACCCTAAGACAGGTAGCAAATTACAGACATTTAAGCCAAGAAAACTATTAATCTATATATTTGAGGAAATTACAAATCAGATGAATACAACTCTTATTAGGGCTAAATACAAATGTTAAAGAGGACAGAGTTCATAGAATTCACAGCCTGTTGAAACTCAAACTCAGCCTAAGCTACAAAGCAAGACCATTCCAAAACTATAGAAAGAGATATACTATTTACAAATTATGTACTGACTTTAAGGGTCCTATAGGTTATGTAAGTTAAAAAAAATTTTTTTTGGAAGCTTGAGGGTAATTTTATCAAGGGTTTAAAAAACACTACAGAGCAGGCAAGCCGCATGCCTTAGCAGCTGCTCTGAAGAGAATCAGGAGGGAAGGGAGAGAGCTATGCTGCTTCAAGTAAGCTGCCATCTCTGTCAGCCAAATGGCAGGAAGGGCTTCCTTAGAGAACAAGGAAGAAATCCAAAGTGCTAGGGAAAACCTGCTTAGAACAGATGAAATAAAGAAGGTTATGCTTTTGTTTGTAATCCAGACAGGCAGGCAGACTTAGGAAGCAGTATGGTTGTGTTCTGTAAGAGACTGGTAAAAAGATAGCCGGGTGGTGGTGGCGCACACCTTTAATCCCAGTACTTGGGAGGCAGAGACAGGCAGATTTCTGAGTTCGAGGCCAGCCTAGTCTACAGAGTGAGTTCCAGGACAGCCAGGGCTACACAGAGAAACCCTGTCTTGAAACAAAACAAAACAAAAACAACAAAAAAATCCAAGAGGTGTATGACTTGGGAGGCAGAGGCAGACCTCTGAGTGTGAGGCCAGACTGAATTCCAGGACTATATAGAGACCCTGTCTCAAAAGGCGAACAGAAATCCATAGAATGATCTCTACTCACAGTATTCTGTACTGAACAGTGAATTCTGTAGTTTTTTTCCAACAGCTGTTGTACTGCACTTGATCTGAAAATTATGACAAGTATAAAATCAGATTATACATAATTTAAATTTAGACAAGATGAAATATATGTTTATCAGTTGGTTCAGTGGTAAAGGTACCTGCTGCATTGCAACCTAAAACCAAGCCCTAGAACCCACACGGAGGAAGGAGAAGACCACTCTTGCAAGTTGTTCTCTGACACTTCCCACATATAAAAATGCCACAAAACATACTCTTAAAAAAAACAAACTTGCTGGGTCTAGGGGCAATGACCTATAATACTAGCTGCTAGAAACACTGAGGCAGGGGGATTGCAAGTTCAAGGGCAGCCTAGAGCTCAAAACAAGAGGTTACAAGGAATCATTGAGTGATAAGAATATTCACTTAGCATGCTTGACCATAGGCTCAATCCTTGGCATTGCCAGGAATAAAATGTTAAAGCTCTCTAAAATCAAATCTTACCTCTTTTGCCTTTGGATATCCCCAAATGTTAGATTTTTTTTTTCAAGTTAATAAACAGCACAAAGACTAGGAAGCAGCTGAGCTACTAAAGGCATTTGCTGTGCAAGCCTAATAATCGGAGTTCCATTTCCTGAACACATGTAAAGCTGTGAGAGAATCAACAACTCACAGTGGTCCCCTGACCTCACACGTGCACCATGACACATGTCCCCACCCACAATGAAATGTACAGAGAACCCAAAAGCAAAACCTTGGCAAATTTGTGGCTTAATTACTGTTTTTTTCTGTTTTGCAAAGAAAAACTAATTTGACTCCCAACTCCAATTTTCTTATATTTTGCCTCTCAGAGTAGTATGAAATTTTTAAAAATGAAGTCTGTCTGACCTGAGTAATATTCGTACTTTAGGGTACCTGTTTATTGGTAAAAGACCAAATGCTATGACAGTCCTGGAAAACTGGTCCTTCACTAGTACAAAACAGTAAGTTACTTACTTGAATGCAGCGGACAGTGTCTTGTTTTTCCGAACAAAAGTGATCCTTACTAAGCCATCCCATTCCTGAAATGTAAGATGGATATTTTCTTCAGAATATCCAACTTCTTATCTACTCCTCCTTCGTTTTTAATATATAAAGCCAGAGGGAATGAAAAATGGTGTACATTTTGATCTAGCTAGCACATATCAAACAATGCACAATTCTGCACTTGTGTGAATCTCACTGAGTATATTATCATTTTTTAGTTGAGGGGGAAAAAGTTGTCACCATTCATAATATGGCATTAGGATCACCTTCCAGAGAGATTCAACCTAGGCATAGTGGGACATGCCTATGATCCCAGCACTTACGATAGGAGTCTAACTAAGGTCATCCAGCACATACATAATTTGAGCCACATGAGACTCTACCTTAAAAAAACAAAACTGAAACGAAACAAAACATCAAGTTTAGAACACCAACATGATTTATGATGTAACTTGTCCAACAAGTTTTTCTCTTATGTAATTAATTAAATTTTATATCAAATGGTCTAGTTTTTTTTTGTTTTTTTTGTTTTTTTTTTACCCAAAAAGCAGTAGTAATTTTAATTCAAACATGTCTGCCCCTAGGCTGAGGATGCAGTCCAACTGGAGCACACTTGCTTCGGGACCACCAAACAGCGTTACCACAATACTGTTCAAACACTTGCTTCGGGACCACCAAACAGT